TTGCCAGTTCGTTCGTGGCAGGTGTCGAACTCTCCTTCCCTCGATGAGCTAATCAGGTCAGCGTTCGTTCCTTCATGGATGGTATCAAGCACTGCTTCCCTCGATAAGCTCATCAGATCAGAGTCCGTGTCGATCTGCAAGACGTGGTCGGCAGTTCCTTCATGGCTGGTGTCGAGCACACCTTCCCTCAACAAGCTCATAAGGTCAGCGTTCGAGAGATCGCCATCGAAGAGCATGAACTCCTCGAGATCATGGCCGTAGCTCTGGTGGGAGGTTGAGGCCATAAGGTGAGGTTGTGGTGTGAGGAAGAAAGGGTGATCGCCACTCCCCATGTCTAGGGTTGAGCTTGTTTCTGTGCCTCTAGGGCATCCACACAGCCCATTTGGGGAAGCAAGAAGATGACCCCCTGTTAATGTGAAGGGAATCATTGTGCTGGTTTTAGATGGCTCAGTGACGTTAGGTCATTAATTTATGTCCAATGGAATAATGAAATTTTCGTAGTAGTAGTAGTAGTAGTAGTACTTTATTTATTTAATTTTTTTGAATTTGTCAAGTATTAAGTTTAAGTTGCATACCATATTTTGCACTCTTGACATGGAAAAAGATACTAAAAAATAAATAAAATTTTAAATTTGAATTTTGGAAAAAGTTTAAAATTACCCACCATATAATTGCATAAAGAAAAGGTCAAAAACAACATTGCCATGAATAATTGATGCTTTGCTATATATAGTTAATAGAACATATAGTTGTATAGTTAGATTACCGCAGGATCCAGAGATCAAAAGTTATTGATGGATTACGATGACAATAATACGAGTACATATAGATTCAATTTTTGAAGCTTATATGTATGCTCACAAATAATTTAAATGATGGAAAATATGATTATATAAATAATTTAGCTCTTAAAAGAATACAATTTGTTGTTAGCAATTCGGTGGCCATTTTAAGTTCTTGTTTAAGAGTAACTTTGAGCATAAAAGAGACCAACGAAGGAATTTTAGATGAACGAGAGGAAAGCTTATAGGAAAAACAATGACGAAGGTTTTAATATTGGGAGTGCTATGTAATGCTGTTAGCCATATTAATTTGTTGTTATCCAATAGTTAATAGAAAGAATATAGAGAAGTTCAAAAATTGACAAGATATAAACAAATGTACGGCGTTCTTAGATATAATCTCAAGCGTATATTTTTATTATGGAAATAAACATGAAGCGAGACAACAAATTATCGTACTTATAAGATAGTATTAGGGACTAAGTTTACCTTTTTTTGGTGGATAAATAATCATATTGGAATAATTCTTTAGGTCACAATTGTTGTGGTATTCAATCCGACCTTACAATGAATGAATTAAAACCTAATCAACATCTTCTCTACATATACTTTTTATTAGAATCCTGGATAAATTTACTGGAAATATCACAACCAGACCAGCTATTTAAATGATGTGACGGCTATCAGCCCCGGATGTATGCATTCCCACTGATGCAGACAGTCTTGCCAACCATGTCTAACAATTAACGGAACAGATAAAAAATGCTCGATATAAGAAGAATGACGGACATTAGCTAATTCGACACAACCAAAGAAAAGATCACTGCTTCATCGGAGCAATGGATACACGACACCAAAGATCTCTCTGCATACAAACTGCTATCCGTGGGGTTAACGTGCTCATCATAGTCGAGAATTCTACATAGGGTTGACGCTGTTTTTATGGTTGATACGGTGACAATTCAAAGACGTAATAATATAAAGAAAACAAATTGGCACTAAATAACTATCATACTTGAATATGATGGCAGGATACAAGATGCTATAAACAAAATAAAGACCACCAAAATGACAAACAGAGCATCAAATACTTAAGCTGAACATTCAACAACTTAAAAGAAAATTTACAAGCTAACCTGACTCTAACAAGCTGATGATTCACATAAGTTACTGGAATTTGGCATGAGAGCTTGTAAGACGCAGCAAGACAAAATAAGTGCTCGGTTTGACAACAGCAAATATAGCAAATAAAGCATGCAGCAAATTCAATGCGAGAAAATAGTCAACTGTAGACGTAAAAGGTCTACCTGATTAGGCACAATCTGACTCATGAATGACAAGCTTGCTTAAATATGGTAACCTTAAGACTGATTCCAGAGATAAGAGTTTATGAGATAATTGAAGATACAGAAGAAAACCTGACGTTTACTTGTTAACCCAACAATATAATCACCCAAGAAAATATCTGATGGGGTAATTAACCTTTCTTTTATTATGGAGACCCCAAACATCAGCTTCAATATCATACAACCCCACCCCCCCCCCCAGTCTAAACCAAATCAAAATAAATCTCGAATAAGGGGCCTCAGACAACAGCCAAATATTGCACCTATAACTAATCTGTTTGGTCTACCTCCCAGTAATAACAGTAGTTAAAATTGAAAACTGTCACCTGCTCTGGCTCACGAGAAAGGTGAATCAGCGGCAACAGAACTCAGCTAGTGCACAGAAGCATCCAATGCTCCTGTTGGTAACCCATCTTCAACTTTAGTTTAAGTTCCACAAAACCAAAAAAAAGCCAAATAACAACCAAAATTTTCTGCACATGCATATCTGGATCAAGACATTTTTGTTTGGATTTGTCGGTGGACATGTACAAGGAACTCAACATAGGAGAGGCCTCCGGGACTTTTGTCTTCAACCATATAAGATAGAAAATGCATGCCTGCACAAAAAGGAAACTCCGATGAAGCATGCAAAATAAATCACACTGCAGGAAACTTCTGAATTTTAGCTGAGCACACAAAGCAGAAATACGAGATCATGAAAACTATCTGGTGCTTCGTACGGCTTTAATTATTAACTGACCTGAAGGATCACCCTTTTTGCATAGCCGCAAACTGCACATTATATTTAAACACTTTAGTGTTTTGTACATACTAGCTATTAAGATACATGAGGACAAAAAGAAAACATCTGCCATACCGTAGGTATGAACATCTCTGCTGTCTAATCTCATTCACTACATCATTTAGTTTCTTTGACAATTCATTGTCGAACTGCTCTAAAACAAGCTGCATTGACCAAGAATGCAATTCACCAGTAAGTAACAAAATTTCTAATTGATTATGAAAATCAAGCCAGAATCAATCATCCTAAATCATCATATCTTCAGCAAACAATAATCCAAGACATGCACTACTAAGCTACATCCAAATGAAGTTGTTTTATCATGAGAATGTTCAAGATTTTAAATCAGGGTCATCATAGCATGATGCCCTCATGTATTCTGCAAACATAAAAGGAAACACTTGTGAACTAGCACAAACACACACCTAAAATCTAAACAAACATACAGCATGTCAGTTCAAGATCTTAAACCAGAGTTATCAAAGCATTACACCCTCATGTATTCTGAAAAAACACATGGATTCACTGGTGACAAGCGCCTGCAGGCACACACAAATGAGAGCAGACAGTAATGCAGACAAAAATACATGCACAGAAGATGTGCAAACATCACAAGCTTATGCTCCACATACTCACTGACACCACACAAACACAGTTAAATTCTCAAAAACAACGTAGTAAACAAGTTAAGAGACCTCTGTTCAGATGTCAGATGGCAATATGCTTTTGAATTTGGGCGAGTTCCAACAGAATGTATGCACTATGAGAGGGTGTCTGAGTGTTCGAGAACAGCCTTTGACAGATTACCTTCAGCTGGTTAGCGGGAACAGCCAAAGGACATGCTGCTAAAATTTTAATCCATGGTGACACTATTCACTTGCAGACCTGCTTTAGAAACTAAAAACAACAAGATTGCCTAGTATTGCAGTTTGCAAGTTAAGGTTTTTTTTCAGTAACCTACATGCTTTGCCCTAGATGACTCAAATGACCAAATAATATAGATTCTTCATCACAATCTGAAACTAAAGGTTTGCCACCAACAACGAAACATGAAATCAACACAGTTGAATCCATTCTATACTAAACCCTACTGGAAACAACTTTTGTCAATCAACTAAATCACAATAGCATTATCTGAGTATTTCCCATATCTTTGGATCACGAAAATGCAGATCCATCAAGGAAGTCTCTTTAACACAGTAATAAAGGTTCAGTCATCAAGACATATTTGATTGCTTGTTTTGTTATAAGTCATCAGTCAACAAAGAAAGGAATGAGAAATTTTTAGCATGCTGTTGAAGTTTCATCAGTGATCATCATGAATATTCACTTGTTTTCATATTAACATAGAAAAGAACTATGATACTAAGGTCTGTTTTCAGTGCCAATGAAATGAAGCAAATGAAATGTACCTGAGATGGAAGTCCATCCACAGAAGAAACTCCAAATATCTGTTGTAGGGTATCTGGGTTGACCATGTTTCCAATATAAATTAACCCATCTTCACCATTTTCCAAAAGATAAATTCCATCATCATTTATGTGCTCACTAGAAAGAGGAATATTTAAAGCTAAAAGGGATCCATCATCCTCCTGCATCATTAGAATAATTTTGAGTTCAAACAAATAATTGATCGAACTAGTTTGAACTTAAAGATCAATTAAGAATGATGATTCATTATACATACCTTTGTAGTAAGGTCATGAATAGATAACATCCTAGGATATACTAAAGGAATAGCCAATGATATAGAAATTGATGCGACATGGCTGATCCAATAGGAACGGTCATCCAACCGCCCATCATTTCGCAACCCAATGCTTTTAGCCAATGCTGAGAATGTAGAATAACATAAAGGGTAGTGATTTACTTGTATTCCAGCATAGAATGCGGCTTTCTCTAACCTTATTCATGCAATATACACTAGGCATGGCAATGAAATGAAGGTAACAAAGCAAATAAGCCACACGAAGAACTGATGGCAACCACAATGGCAATTGAATTTTAAATTTGATTTACTTTCCGATAATAAAAAGAGAAATTACTCTGCAAAAGTTTTTGCAAGGATCCAATTCAGGCAAAAAAATAAAATGAAGATACAAGGACATTTATATGTACAATATTAAAAAAATATGATACAATCCTATAGAAACTTTAAAGACTTAGAAGATTCATTTTCTATATTTTTAAACCATTTCATATCACAAGGTCTGATGAAAATGTTTAATGTAGAACCTGGAAACATAAGGATGTACACAACATAACTTGAGGCTGTGGATAAATGAGTACATACTGAAGGTAGTTCCAGTGACCTCGAATAATTGGACACCTTAAGGTGACCAGGCTAAAAATTAAGTTAACAGAGCTGAGAGAACAATCGCCATAAATTAATAGAATATATCAATTAAAATCTGGCTTCCTATTGGTCCTTCCTATGTATGGAGGTGCTTGCTCAACAATTCATTAGACCACATAGTTTCATCTAGGGCTTGTTAACAAGGACCTCAATGCAAATGATATCACTAATTAGTAATTTGGTAATATTTGTTATTAATTTTATCTTATATATTTGGATACCTAATCAAAGAACTAACAATCATGCACTGCCAGGTTGCATGCCCAACCACCATAACAATCTAGATAGTATTAGAATGTTGTGCTTCAGAGACGTGCCCTAATTATTGTGCAAGGCTATGCAAGGCTTTTGTGTTATCGAGCAACTTCACCATCAAATTTGATGATCTCAATGCATTTACAGTTAACTCATAATTACCTCAAGAACTTACCTTTTACAAACAATTTTCACTAGATACATTCACCTATTAATTACATAGAAAAACTTCAATATATTGTTGGAAATTGTGCTCATGTCAACACAAAAAAAATAAAAAGAAATTTCTTTCTCACAACAACATGAGTCCATGGGCAGGTAATGAAACAGAAATTATTGCACAACTTTTAAATTTAAGATGAAAGTCCACATCAGAGTCTGAATATATTCATTGCACAACTCATGAAAAACAGAACAAATATTAGATCATCTACTTCTCTGGTTTTGATTCCAATATATATTCTGTGAAGTGTGAACAATGTCATATCATCTCTTGCTCAAATTACAATTCCAATTTATCTTCTATGACTAAATAACATGAAGATCTCATATCATTCATTGACATTTGATAAGTAGCAAAGGAAAATCATTGACACAATAATACACAGCAACGTGGACTTGTATAGGTGTACCTAGAGTATATAGAGGCAACAGCTTGAGAGCTTCAGGAAGAATTAGCTGTCCTGCTGATGATACTGTGGCACAAAATTTTCGGTAGGCATGTAGGATGTTGATGCAGAGGTTTGTGATTTGCTCATGTACTTGGGAAAGAGGGCTCACAGGGAGCATACTTGCAGCTACAAAGTCCAGAAAAATACCAAATATTTAGCAATTTTAGAATTGAAACCTTAAATATTATCAGTAGAGTGATAAGATGTAATAGTAACATAACAGTTCTAAAATGTACAATAGTAGCAACAAAAAAGTTACAGCAAGTTATGCTGCAGCAATAGATCAAGGAAGAAGCATTAAGTGATATCATGTAACAGAGTTTTAAATTTTTTACCTTGCTTGAGAAAACAAGCAAACTGAGTATCCAAATCTGCTGAACGGAACAGACTACTGAGCATGGTAGTGCAAGGAAGGGAGATATTCATAACTCGAATTCTTCTTTGCCCATACACAGTAGTGTAAAGAAGTGCACACTGCAGAATGAAACATAAACAGAAGTTGTGCTACCACGTTTATTGTTCAAAAGAGACAAATGTATATTGCTATCTAAAGTTAACATGTCCTTTGCGGTTGGATATATTTATCAAAAGGTACACTGAGTTTGGAGAGAAGGCATTCAATTATTGAATGATATAAGCCCATAATCACAGAGGTTCTACTTATATACCTGAAAGGAACATTCTGAATTCTCCTGGAACTTATCATCATGTTTAAATGTGACCATGATGGTTTTGTCGCTGTCAATCTGCATCAGAAAGGCTTCCTTAGAGCAGACAATAAATACTAAAAATATTAGACCATTAGTACATGGACAGTTACTGGGAGGTAGCACATCATACTCCATTGTTTGTAGATATCTATGTGAATTCTGATAGAAATGCAGTTAGAATAAAGAACTTTTTGGGCAGAATTAAACACAATATATAAAGGAGAAGAAGAAAAGCAAAAGCTGACTTCATAAAGCCTGATCACCTTCCAGGAGTACCCTGACTTATCAACGGAGTGGACACTATATGCAGGCTAGGAATGGGACCTAAATGACTCTTGCTTCTGCTGTCTTCGATTCTTTTCACTCATCTCGGAAGGCTAAGGATTCACCATCTCATGGAGTGGCCATGCAGCATGTATAGCTAACACAAGAGCCTGCAGAATTGATCCGGTACCACTCACAATGACCTGTGAACCAGGACCCTCTACCTCCAATAAGAATGCACTGATTTTTCTTCTTCCATTTTGCCCAGCAAGGTGGGAAGAGAATGGTTCAACACACTAGATATAGCCTCACGATCGCTAATAGGGTTCCAGTGTGGGACTAAATCCAGATGGAATCCATTGTGGTTTTAGCATGGGTTAGCTAGAACTTCATGCTTATGTAATGTTAAAGTTCAGAAACATACCTTGAGGGTGATCAAGTACAAATCACAACAACAACAAGTGTTGGATGGACATTCGTGCTACAGTAAATTGGATGGCATTTACAAAAGCAACAATTCTACAAGGCATTGTATTTAGAATAATGAAGTATCATCAGAGCTATTCTTGATAGTAGATAAAACAATTTGCAGGTTCAAAGTCATAACTGGTAGCTATTATCATCAGAGCTTAATGATTTACAAGGAAATTTAAAGTTGAAATTAACATTAGCTAGATCAGTTTTGATGATAATATAAAAATACTCACCGCAGGAAGATCAATATCAGTGGGAATACGCTTACAAAAGTTTCCAGAATACTCTTGAACTTGAAGACCCTAGAAAATCATGACACAGAAAATAATTACTTCTGAGAAAACTTTTTACCAAACATAGCACATCCAGATGCAAGAAAACTATATGCCAAATCAAATGTACCTGGCTACATCTAACACGCATCACTGCTTCAAAACCTTGGGGTCTACTGATGTTCCATCTAAGATCGTTGTAGAGTTTACCAGGATCAGAAAGAGCAGAAAATGGATAATAATAATATACCTGCAACAATAACATGGAAGTTGAGTTAAATAATCCAGCATAAAGGAATAATATCTGCTAAATTAACCATGACAGTTGTTATGTGTCAATGCACAATGACAATCGAACTATAAATAGTAGCCGTACTTGTAAAACAGCAGGTGCGAAAGAAATAAATCTTAAGCGCATCCAGAAATTTAAGCATTATATCCATAGCAAAAATATACTAGAACAAGAGAATGGTATATATGGAACCTAATCTGGAAACAAACCACAAAAAGCAATCCTGACAAACAACTGCTGCATTATTCCCACAGTTAATAAAATTCATTTGCTTTGAATCCTTGTACACTTATTGAAGCAACAAGCAATGAGACTTTGTAGGAAAAGGAAAGATGGAACAGAATATGCCAGGGATGAAGCGTAGACGACATTTTATGAAGGAATATCTTTTGACATAGCAACAGAAGAAACATTCTGTTTCACATACTGCACTGACTATTATAAGTTTTATTTTCACTGTAAACTTTACAACTAATAAACATTTGGACTTAAAATTGAACATTTATTAATGTTTGCCACTGCTATCATTATGCTCTTTTTAGCAATAAAATATTAAGGATACATTAGTTCTTATGACGATCACCACATGTCAGACAAGAGACCTCAAGGAGGAGGAATATAGTATTACAATGACTTAAATCGGTGAATAAACTAATTTCAAAGAATATGCTACAATGGTAACTAAAAGGACTTTTTTATAACCAGCTTCACAAAATGCCTTTAGGCATGTGAATAAGTACAACAACAAAAAGCCACAAAATTTCATGTTTGGCACATAATTTCTAGCCAAGAAACATCACATATATATTAAGAAGTGATTTCCTATAACTTTCTAAAAAAAATATGTTAGAAGAAGTGATTGGTGCATTATGGAAGAATGCTACTGAAATTAGAGGAAAGAAACTTTGAAATTTCAACTTGACAATGCCTCATAGTTTTAGAACTTTCAACAGCGTAGTGAAATAAGAGAATAGATGATAATTTTTACTGGGCAAGATGTAACTACTTCCACAAGAAGTTTGAGATTGAACCACTTAATGGAAAATAAGCTGGCAAAAAATCGTCTGTGTTCCTGACATGTCTGAGAAGACAAAAAAGATACCACAACAACAAGTACATTAAAAAATTCAAGTTGGAGGCTACCATAGTAATCGGTATGGAAAAAATCATCCTGACAAGTAATAATACTGTAAAATCAGTTGAATTATAAATATAGTAATAAATCAAATAATAATACTGTAAACGTAGTAATCGGTACAGAATCCAATCATCCTGACAATCACAATATATCCACTGCATCTTGGTAACAATGAGATCTTATTGTCCCCACACCACAGTGTCCTAATTACAGATCCTACCACAAAGAAATCAAAGCTGATTTATATAGCTATAACAGTGAATCCAAAAGAAAACATTTTTCAACATCACACGATCAGTAGCGATTTAGCAAATGATTTATATATTCCTCAAATTCCTGATAAAGGACTAATATAAAAAGAATTACCTGCCCCCCTGTAGTTGTTGGAACAACAGAAATGGATGCAATGTCCACAAAAGTCTGGGTAGTGATGAATATATCCACACAAACCTGGAGAACATTGTCAGATAAATTAGTCTACATTCCAACTTAGTGAGGTATGTGGCAAGATAAAACCAAGCAACTTGCCTGGTATTCGGCAAACTCTATGGCCATTGTTTTCAATGTCTTGTCTGCTGGTTGGAGAAACTTATGAGCTTCCTGAAATTGACAAGTATTAGATTAGACATACTTCAGGTTCAACATTTATTTCGACACAAATCTTAGTGGCAGCTAACTTCATCAGTGGACAAATATTTCATTAAAATCAATGTGCAACAGTGCAGTCAGAATAGCTGATTATTATATAAGCAGTTTAACTGGACACATAGTGTCAATGCAACTGAAAAGAAATCATCATCGAGATTCAGATATCCAATGGGTCATAATTCTGAACAAGTTGTGCAAAACTGAAAAAGAAATTCAAACATCACAAGAATTCAGCTAACAAGGATTCAAGAAGAGTATGTGTAATAAGTACACCTTGTCACCAGCAGAAACATTTGTTCTTCCCTCGGCCTCCCTGGCAGAAAGAGACCCAATACCAACTGATGGCAAAACTGCAAAAATAAACAAAAGGTCTGATTCTTGTACAAGCACCATCAGCAAAAAGGAAATAAAACATAATTTGAGAGTTAGATAAAGGTAAATGGAGGAGGTATGGTGAAGCCAAGGTTATGGAGCTTGAGCCTGATCACTCAGGGTTGAATTGTTCGATACCAGCATTGATCTTAAGAGTCAATATTAAGCTTGTAAAGTTCATATTTAAAATGAATCTGGTTGAAGTCCAATTTCAGATGCAGTAGAATATGAGCCTATGAAAATATTATTAGCATTCGAAAGAGATCGAACCAGACTAAAACTTAAAATTAATACTGAGTCTTAACATGATTCTAGGGTATGCACATATTGTAGAAACAAAGAAATGTATCATACAGAGACATACTGCCCCGATCAAAGGCGACTGCCTGTGTCAATTAGGGTAACTTGACCCAGTTCTGTTTCTCTCGAATTGGCTTTCAAGCATAGTTTTGCTAAGCCTGTAAAAGGCGGTACATACCATGTACCAAACCAAGATGGGACAGATAAATGGAGACTGTACTTTACCAGCCAAAACATAAAGAGTTTTGGCTCATTTCTTTTCTTTCTTTTTCTGTTTCTTTTTTATTTGCTAATGACTGCCTGTGTTCACATGCTACTCTACTAGTCTGTAAAATGCAGTACAAATCAGTATTTGATTCCATGGGGAGTTTCAAGATGAACATAATTTCAGACTTTATTTCAACACTAAAATTTTTATACAAAACAGTCTAAACCAAAAAAAGCAAGAAAAGCTAAACTAATTTATTTCAGCTTTATAACTTAATACCAGCTGGTACATACTAACTAATTTCAAATTTTTGTGCAGCATCCTTGTTTGTCAAGATGGCCCCTGACTACACTGCTCTAATTGTACCAATCATGTCTAGCAGGCTCCTCGTGAATACCTCGCATCTTTTTATTGACCAAGCCCAAAATACCTAAGCTGATGCTCCAACATTTTTGTTCTCACTTAATGCATCTCTGTATAGTCAGATGTTTATATAAATGCCTGATGGCCATAAGACATGTCTGGACCATGAATCTTGCCCCTATCCATATAAGGATGCATTAAACCATATGTAGTACGGACTTTTATATGGAAATCCAAATATAATAACTAAACTAGATAGTTGCAGAAAATAAGAAAATATTCTCACTTAGTTTTACTAGAATTAAACATCATATAGAGTCATAGACAAGCCTCATCTTCGACAAACTCCATAATCACCAAATTTCCATCAGATCTCATAAAACACAAACAATTCTCATATATAATAATTTTAGTGCAGAAAACACACCAACTTCCTGGTAAAAGTGCTAACAAAACATAATACATACGTAACAAAACTATGAAATATAAATAACTGCAACATCAAAATTTCTTGACTCAAATGTGTCAGCTAGCTCAGCTGGTAAAGATCTTGATAGTTTATCACAAGATCCTAGACTTTCATCACTTACCCTTTGCAAAAAAAAACATTCCTTGACCTGTCTTAATATGCTTTTCCTATGCAACAGCCCATGATTCACCACTTTAGATATAATAATTTTAGTGCAGAAAACACACACCAACTTCCTGGTAACAAGTGCTAACAAAACATAAAACATTATGTAACAAAACTATGAAATATAAATAAATGCAACATCAAAATGATCTTGACAGTTTATCACATGATCCTGGACTCGAATCCAGCCTTCATCATTTACCCTTGGCAAAAAAAAATTAAAAATCCTTGACTTGTCTTAATATGCTTTTCCTATGCAACAGCCCATGATTTACCACTTCAGATATCTTTTCATATAAAATATGCATGTTATCAATGTCAAGCAGAACAATGACACCTCTCCAACTGTTGTCTAGCCGCAATATTAATAGTGGACAACCATGTTGAATCCTCTTCCAATAAAGACAATTGGTTAACAGACTCATAGTTACACTATTTTCTCCATCACCTGCAGGATACAGACACTGAAGGACAAATATTGTTTGACAACCAAAGTTAAAAATGACCGGTATAAAAAGAATTATCTGGGCACTAAGACTAATGCTACATTTGGCTTGGACAACTTTTGTCCACGACAAGCTAGTCAATCACAAAACCCATAGAATTATGGAAATATAATTGTATTTAATATATAATTATAATTTTATAATTAATATATTTGTATGAATTATAATTTTATATATATTAAAAAAATACATGTGTCATCGCCGTGTCCGTGTCTTAATTTTTTTTAAATATGATGTGCTGTTGTGTCCGTGTCATGTCCATGTCCCGTGTCCATGTTTCTTAGCTGCAGTACCAAATGGAGGAAATGCCGTACAGAGCAGACGAGAGGAATCTGACAAACAGGAAGGTACCTGATCTTATGCAAATCTACTTAATGAACAGATATCATTTTGCATTTCTCAACAAATATAATTTTTTTTTAGTTACTGATTTATGGATCCAATTTCACTCATCCATGTTTGGGAACCAATGATTGGTTCGGTCTACAACGATTTTGGATTGGATCATAACTAAAACAAAAGGCAAAAGTTCCAATAACAATATCAGGATTAAAAAAATGAATGTTGCTGCTTACCTGACTGAAACACAAGAAGTTTTCCACCTGTGGGTTTCAGTGCCAGGAACCCAGCCTGCGATAGATGAAACATTACATTTTACATTTAAATGCATGGTCCAGGTATACGAAATCATCAAAAGCTTATCTAACAAATTTAGTAGAGATAATAGTGAAGAAGTTCTTGGACACTTCTGTGGGGGCGAGTGTTCATATTTGAATTACCCAATGGAGAAAAGAAGGCAAGGGAGCATAAAAGAATTACAATTTACAACTATTATACTAAGCATAAGTATCACCTTGATAGCCGCACCAAATGCAGACTCAGCAACTTTATTGTTATCGAACATGCTTGGGATGTTCTCTAGCAACTGCTCCAAACCTTGGCGGCACTGGATTCTCAGAAAGAATAGAAATATTATTTAAGCAAGAAACCAAAGGGTAATTCTTAATAAACACAAGAAAATTAGGATTGGAAGGCAAACCTCAGTAAGTTGAACAATTATGTCTGTTTGAAGGGGTGTATAAACGTCATGAACATCAGGAACAATGAGCATTAAAGGCTGCATGGATGTAACATTAGTAAATATCATTCCGGTCGGATCAGTTATCAATACAGATGCATGGATGCATGAGTGAAAAAGCAATGAAGCAAATAAATAGACATTATTCAGAAGAATTTCATGCTATAAAAGAAGTCAAACTTAATATATATCAAATAATACTATTAAAAATCATGATCTAAATTTGTCTCTTGGCTTTGTTATAGCTAACTAATACTGTTTTGGATTTATCAAGAATAATTTAAAGAATTTTCATCACTGTAATTGTAGCTATTTAGAAATCCTAAGTAGCATTTTGGTCATTTTCTGTTGGCAGCAAAATACTAAAGAAACTACAAAATCCAGCAGAGCCCTACCCTTTTAAAGTAACTAAAAGAAAACTTCTAATGAGTTTTTTTTGTCTAGTCTAGGCAATATTAAAATTCTATCAAAAGCCAGACTGATGGTCCTCCATGTGAATATTAAAAAAAGAAGTAAGAGAGAAAGAGGTCGACTAATGGCCTTCCACCATTGCTACTGTTCTCCTGCCTCTCTCCATCTGCTGCATTCTTATATATTGTTCTTTTCTCTTTATTCTTCAATTCTCTGATGATTCTTTTTCTAAGCTCATTATATCTACTGCTAATGTCATTTTCTCTAAATATTTTACAAAAAAGGAACTGTACAAGATCTAGTGACATGTACTATTACTGCATTACATCAAATTGTTATTGTATGATATATATATTCCATTTTCCTGTAACCTCGTTGCATAATCCATTGCTACAACACCCAAACACAGTGTATATTTCGACCCAATAGCAGAGGAAGTAATTTCAGAAGTTCATTATCTGCCAAGAATCTGTTTAAATTACAATAGGATATGGTGAGACTCTTCTGAAAGTTCGCTAGAGCATCACAGGCCAATCTCTTGATAGATCCTGTGTTATTTGGTACAACAGGGAACAATACCTGTTCATTCTGCTTAATCTTTATCTACTTTCAAACCATCTTTTAAAAATGAATTGATAAAGTCCAAATTCTGGAAAAATGAATAAGCAAACCCGTATAAAATATGTACTATGACTAGTCTGGAATTAGCTATACTTAATGAAACAATTGCATTTTAAAAAAATTTATATCAATCCACAGAATAACTCCAATTTTGTCATTATTGTGTGTGCTTCTGGAGGAGCACGCATGCAAGAAGGAAGTTTGAGCTTGATGCAAATGGCTAAAATATCTTCTGCTTCATCTAATTATCAATCAGATAAAAAAAGTAATTCTATGTATCAATTCTTACATCTCCTACTTAAATTTAAACAAACAGGTTCAAGATTGTCAAGTCTCTGATAGATAGATTGATTCTATAGATTAGATCAACACTGCAGCAGAATTTAACTAGATAAGACTAGTTATATAAGCTGCAGTCATTTGCTTGATGTGTCTACCTGCGCAGGACCAAAATCGACAAGATCTGGTCGTAAACCAACATTACCAGAATATGCTAGTGAAAATGTCAACTAAATGAGGGGATTGGCAACACATGAAATCCAACTAAGGAGCTTGAAAAATATAGTGAAAGATGATTTATCATACAAGGTGGTGAATAGAAAATCTTAAATTTCAACCAGCACGTTAAGACCAACAGATTGAGAAAGGCAGCATCTGGAGCCAACCATCATCTTGAAACCAGTATACATGATCAAGGATGGATTCCCTACTGACTGGACCAAAAAACAAAATCAGATGCTGACATACATTACAAGGCATAGTGAATAAATTACATGTGAAGATTTGAGACCAATCAAACTGTTTGCAATGCAGGGGTGGACTTCAACATAAGATCATGGTGCATCAGAGGTAGATCAACAATTTGTGGAAAAACTTTAGATATTGAGGAGATCTACATTGCAAAAGCAAATAGGTGCTTGATAGATCCATCATAAACTTCGATTCAATTTGAAGCTTCCATTTGAATCTTCAGTTCATCAGAACTGAACCAATCGAGTCTAAATTGTCACTTGCGTATGTTTTACTTGGTTATATAGTATTTTCTATTTTTCAGATTTTTCATACGAATTTCATCATTATATTATACAAAGTCATCTAGATTTTTCTAACAAAATCCTAAAAAATCTACAGATTGGCTGAGATATTTTATCTCGTTTGCAAGTTTTAAAGTTAACTGCCCTTACCCACCTTGTTGAACCACATATATACGTATATGTGTATGCCATAAGTCCCTTCACCATAAGTTCGAGATTCCTTACTCTGATGCCTGCCAACATCTAATGGTGATGCAAACTTGCAGAGCCCTGATTAACCTCAACCAATCAACCTTGTTGCAGCTTGGCTGACATCCAAATGCAATGTCATAGACTCTCCAGTCTCCCCAAAATCTGACTTCAGAAGCAATCTTTAATTTGCATTTTAGAATGTTCATGTTTACCCGCATTTTATTCATGCTGTGTTTCCTTTTATTAATGCATTCAAGCATCTATATTTCATCAGAAGACCTGCTTAAGAAAATCTTTATATCAAGGCTTCTCTGAAATTTCCTAAACCTAAAGATCCCAACCTGGTACACCGACATATTGTCATGGACAAAATGATGAAGCTGGTAGTTGCAATTGTGGGAATCAGTTCAATACCACCTTCCATATTCAATTTAACTTCATGGCCTCATATTAACCATTGAGTTAATGTCGCTATATTTTGTTCATCCTGTATTATCTTCGTCATCATTGAAATTGCAAAGTCTTTACCACAATTCATTCTTATAACATCCTCTGATGAAAAACTATATACGAAGAATGTACAATATGCTACCTCAATTCCAGTAGAAGTTGGCTGTTTTCAAGTTCTATGTGGCAATATTAATTCAAAAAAATGGTTATTCTTAATTCTAAGCTGAATAACAATGCGATGCATAGACCAAAATGCTTGTCGTCCAAAATGATATTTGCTATATACCTGCTGTGAGGCACGTCTTAGATTGTAGAAATGAATAGTGCAATCAAAAGTTGCAATCCCAACCATTGTCTGCGGACCATCCTGCAAAAGAAGCAAATGTATTTACTCAAAAGATCAATTAACTTCAAGTATGTGAAAGCAAAATCAAGCACTCATGGTGAGAAATATCAGAATTAACACAAAAGTATAAGTCATCTAAAATTGTATGCATTTACACCACATGACCACAGTTACAGAAATTCATAAGGCAAGGTAAGCAATATATTGCAGGGGAGGTTTTTCTTGGAAGTTAATGACAAATAGCTCCTAGTTGAACCTATAAAAAATTAGCAGTAAGCAACACCTGGAAACCAGAACTTTTATCTAACTACATATCAGTCATTACAGTTTGATTTAACTTATACTCATTCCTGATCAATCAAAACATTTGTTCTTCATATGTGATGAACAGATGTTCCATTGTCTTAGAATGATTGAATAACTCAGATTTGAGTTGAGTCGAAATAGATCATCAAAACTCATGTTCAATCTTAGGGAACTTAAATAGGAAGCTAAATAGATTGAGCATAAAAGAGGAAGCAAAATATCAATTTTAGGATCCAATATCTGCCCCAACATCTAATTTATTATGGTTCTACTTCTAGTACCCTCATACCACAGTCAAATTAAAATCTGCATCATTTTAGTCCTTACCAGTTTACAAGTTTACCAGGTGGGTCAAGCCTGATAACACTTCCGGTATATAGCTAGTAATATCTAATTATCTATAATACATAAATGACAATGTCCAAAAAATATTAAGAATGCAATAACCACAACATATGTTCTTTCTTATGTAATTATAACATTTGTACTTCTTCAATGTGAATGTACATTTGTAAAGGTACTCAGTCTGCTGTACATAACTAACAATAGAAAGAATCAAAAACTCACAGGAAGATCTGCAAGAGACTGACTGATTGCACTGCAAGCTGCTGCAGTAGCACCCGTTTGTACAGCATTCATTGAAACATCAATGAGGAAGAAAAAGACGGCAGGCATTGGATCACGAACCTGAAACCAAATGATCATTGCAAAAATTAACACGATCCCACAGAAGAAACATATAATGTTTTATTGTGACATGACAGTTGTAAATGCTTTTGCATTTTGCACACAAAGAATATAACCGATCCGGGAAGAAAAAATTAATTTTCCGACATTTTTTCTTTATGTAAAGGATTTTCTTCAAGTGGCCAAAGAGGCATATAGCACTAAGATCAAAATAAGGACTTTAAAAAAATAGCTAAGTTGATGAACAGCCACTGTTTACTTATTCTTTTTACTCATCTTTTTTTTTTACTTTTTTTGTGTGAAAATGTAGGCAGAGGCTCCCTTGGTTCATTTAAAATATGAAATAAGTATAGCGAGAGAAAGAAAAGTGAGAAAGTTAAAGCCATTAGTGTCAGTCACTTCAATGCATCCTCAACAAGATAGAACCACATCCTCAACAAGATAGCACCACATCAATAAATGAAGGCACTAAAATGTCTTGTTCATATGCAGCAATGCAGGAAATTTTCAGATTGGTTTGGAAGTGCTATCATAAAAAGAAAGTCGGCCTTCATAATTTTAACAGTATAACGGAAATGTCATAAGATGCAAAAATATACATTTCAAAGTAAGGAAAAAAGTCATAACCAGACACAAGAAAAAAAAAACATGACACGCGGGAAACACGAGTTATAACAGCAACAAGAAGCCACTTCAGTATAGATTTTCAGACCAAGAAATTTTAGCAGAAGAGCAAGCAAGAAAATTCCAGCATTATATGTCGCAAGTTTCTAAGCATAAGCTGGTAAACAGGAGTTAATCTCAGCATGCAGCATGATTGGAAGATAATACAACATCAAGAAGAAAGCATCAGATCTCAATTATTCAGGAATGACTAATTTTGAACAAGTAGAAGAGAGATAGAGAAGAAAAGCAAGCAGAGACAAAGTGGTACATAAATTAACCTAGAAGACTAGGGGGGAAAAGATTAACAAAGAGTAGAATATAAAGACAGGTCATAGAGGACAAACAGCGGAAGGCATAAAAACACTTAATTCACTCTCTAAGGTCAGATAAATGAACAATAATCACACACTCCACCACCTCAATTATCAAGACTCCTCTTTTAAGGTGACAAACATATAGCTTAAAACAAATTTTAAACCAAGTGAGACCTAAATATAATACTTCAATAATAAATTTTAGGATATGGCATCCACTCTCTCCACATAAATTTGCCAAAATTGCATAAGGAGTCAACCACTCGGATGCAGGCAGAGCACATATGGGAACTACACATATCATGTCCTAACAAACATGCAGATGTGGCAGAATATATGACCCAGACAGCTGCTTCTGGATGCTTAAAAAGTGATTCTAATGTTTTGATGAATTGAGAGGTGGAGACATATACACATATGTACACACACACACACACACACACACACATATACACACACACACACACACAGAATAGGATTCACTATCTTTATGCATAAATCCTCCACACACAAAAATTTAACTGAAAGTAGTAATCCAAGAAATCTATTCAATCTTTTAACTGGAAGAAGTAATTTAAGAAATGCTTGTGTCTGTACCTATATCAATTCTATAAAGACAAATAAAAACAAAGCTAGACTACATTAGAAGACAGATGAAAGTTTCACCAACCATGTATTCCCTGGTAGCAACAAATTCAACTGTTCCTCTACAAAGTTCAGGCCTTTCATCAGCATCACGGCGTCTTCCATCTGGTCCAAGATTACAGTAGTAATCCCGCGGAGTATCATTGGTAAAGCCTGCAAACAAAAGTTATAAATAAAACTATTGAAACCTGAAATGATTACAATAAGGTGTGCAGCGGATAATCATAATAAGCACTCCAGTACTTTCAAATGATTACAATATAAGCATACTGCAAAAGGATCCAGCACAGAGACAGGCAAAGAAGTGTATTCAGAGCTCAAGTGGAGATATTGAAATAGGAAAATTTTTTAAAAGCAAGAGACTAGCATAATCTAACTGAATTGAGAGTTAAAAACCTACCACATAAATTGCAAACAAATCTTCGTCCATGATCGATGAATCTCATATAAGGATTTATGTAACCTTTGCATCGAGAACACCGAATAGGTCCACTTTCACCAAAGTCCACAATCTATATTCCCAAAACAATAAATAGAAATTCAGTGATCTTAAATTAGATAAGTCAAAATATACCTCTGGCATAATGAAGCTTCCACATAAGAATAAGTGAATATATTATCCAACATATCAACAAGAATTTCAAAGCTGCCAATGGTTGGAAACAAAGTCAGTAACAATCAACCAATGGTTAAAGTTAATGTCAGCACTTATTTATTCAACACATTACAATAGAAACGAATGCAGACATAAAGAAAGCAAATGAAATAGTACTCATAAGTAGAAACACACTTCCTCTCTTCCCTGCAAATGACAGTAGAAATCTGCTTCTTTAGCCCACGTACATAAACCAAATGCAGGCTTAGTAAAATCATCAATATTTATGAATTTAGCTACAATATAACTTTTCATATAAAAGGATGCCCTTTTTTCATGACAAATTATATTATACGCAACCAAGGTTATGCCTTAGCAGCAAGAATACCTATTTAAAGTGCAGCATCCATAGTTTACAAATTCTAATAAAAATACAGGAACAAATTGTTTTGATCCAAACTTGCTAAAAACTTTCTGATTGGATGTCCTAGCTTCAAATTTTTGCTCGCAAACTAGCTTCCACTAGCCTTCGTTGTATTAATTTCTAAAGCAACTCTTAATGTGATTCAGTTATGTTTTCCGGGCTACAAAGGTAGAGACATCTTAGTATCAGGATAAATATATAGAGTATTGGAGAAAGACACAAACATATAGAGATTACACAACAAACATTGCTCATAGCCAACAGAAGGATTAGGTTCTGTCACCATGTATTCAAATCATAGCAGCATTATGGAAGGACATAGCTAAGGGGAAAAAACTGACTATGACGGTTAAGATAGAGACTAGACCATCTAACATAGCACCAAACAAATTATGAACAAGATCTCAATCATAAAGCATCAGATGTAACAATGGACTTTGACACATGTCCCATCTCGATCATATAAGGAAAAATGAAAAGTACATTTCATATATGAACTGAAGACAGAGCTTTTAGCCTTCCAAAGAGAAAGGCTAATGTATCCCCAATCCCATCTACTTGATAGAAAAGTATAAATTGCAGCAATCTGTGATAAATCAATGAGCTTCAAGAAGGCTTGAGATTCACACAAATACACAACTTTTGGAGATCTCTGGTCATCATAGAATTTCCATGAGAGCTACATATATATTGTCATAGCTTCCAATCAAAAAATTATGCATAAAGGAAGAAACAATTAATTAAAACTGGGATAATGCTGAGACAGAATTGCTATGAATTCATATAATGTTTTCCACGAAATGTTATCTGACAGGGCATGAAACAGGCTGAATTATTTTGCACCGTGACTGTCAGTTGCGCAAACCTGCAAGATTTCTCTTTCTTTTCATAATGGACAGTTCAGCTTATTGATTTATAATAGCAGTTCCTGCATTTAATCTTCTCTTCAAAACACGATGTTTTTCTTTAATAAAACATTTCTTTTAAAGTTGATCTCTGTTGTAGATCAACTCTCATAATTCCTCCTTCACTATCCATGTTAACATGCCACTAATTCAGCCATCCACATCAAAGAGCAGCCCTTCCAGGAATGTGTTCAGAAGACAACTCAAACTCGATACTTCCGTACAGGTTGCTTAGTATTTGGTGTTCTTCGTGATGCACTAAGTATTGAGAGCTATAGGCATGAGAAGTTCAGAGTAAAGGTTCATAGTAAATGACCAGCAAATTCAAAATGTTAAGCCTGCTCTCAACAATAGAAGATTTCAAAAACAATTGAATAACTCGATTTCATGGTGTTATGCTAAAAAATGCGAGAAGCCATTCTTACTTTCTTCAGTTAAAATACCTAGAACAATAGCATTAGCCACTAAATGTTTTAAGTGACCAAGGGAAGAGAGGTGCATTACTTGGATGGGCTCCTCGGAAGGATGTGGAAGTGCCAACGGTTGCACCATCAATGCCAAAGGCATGCTAGATGTAGACAAAAGGTCTCCGGTGCATGGTATCTACCAACATAAACTTGTTTAAAACTAAAACAAAGTAATTATAAGGAACCAACAAAAGAGATGTTAATAAAAAACATACCTGATTCATGGTGCACCTCATTAAACGAGGGCTGCAATTACCATTATCCTTGACAATGAAATTGCTAGTTGCAGGCTTAAACAAATAACAGTAGTAAGTCAGAACAACCAAAGGAAACAAATCAACAAGATAAAAACAATCTCGTTATACAATTCGTTATCATTTATAAATGAGCTATAAGCGACAAGAAAATACTACTATGCAAATATCACAGCTTGAGGAAATACCGGAGGAGCATTTGCTTGATTTCCCTGACGAGTCTCAAAGAGTATGACTGAGGAACTTGGCATTGGTCGTGGAATTTGGTTTGGATCTACCTTTGATGGTGTTGAGGCCTGAGGACCTGCAAGAGACGAATGACCCAAAGCAGGTGGAATGGGAGGCATCGATTGGCCTGGCGTGCTTGGTGGCATGCCAAACATTGTAGGAGGCGCTTGCACAGCACCAGGCATGGATGGGGCCACCTAAAACCAATTTTCAAGAATAACCTGAGGTCAACTTCAATCACATATCAACTAGTTGGAGCAAACACAGCCAAGTAATGAACAATGTGAATGAAAAGTATAATGAAGATGGGCATCGTGTCAACCCAGTAGGTTCCAGAAGAACAACAAAATCAGTTAAATCAGTTAATTCTTTAGTTGCTCGACAAAAGAAAACAGAAATAGTCACATATTTGCAAATAGTTAAGATTCAAGATGGAGGGAGCATCTTGATTTATTCAGATTACAAAATTCCCTGACCTGCCGTGGCTGTGACGACCAAGCCGGAGCCCCGAAAGGAGCGGCCGCAGTTGGGGGCCCTGAAAATGGTTGAGAAGATGGTGGGCCCATATATGATGGTGAGGATGGTCGTCCTGCGTACGGTGCCCCAGTGAACGGCTGCACGGTCGGTGACGCACCAAATGGCTGTGAGGTTGGCGGCCCGGTGTAAGGCAGTCCACCGAAGGGTGGCTGAGAGTTTGGCGGTCCGGCGAAGGGTGGCTGTGAGGTTGGAGGCCCGGCGAAGAGTGGCTGTGAGGTTGGTGGTCCGCCGAAGGGTGGCTGAGAGGATGGCGGTACGGCGAAAGGCCGCTGAAAGGTCGTCGGTCCCGGGAAGGGCGGCTGTGAGGTAGGCTGTCCTGCCGAGGGCGGCTGCGACGTCCGCGGTCCAGCGAAGGGTGGCTGCGAGGCTGGCGGTCCAGCGAACGGTGTATGCGTTGGCGGTGGTCTACTAAACGGCTGCGAGGCCGGCGATCCCATTAACGGCAACGATGCAGGAGTAACAGCAGGCGGGCTCCCGGGAAACGACTGGACGCCTGGAGCCTGGGAAGGAGCAGCCGACAGCGGAGGCGCCCTGATAGACGCCGGGGCGGCCACCGGCGGCGTCTGCTGCACAGGAGGCGGCGGAGGGAACCGCTGCGAAGCGATGCCCGCAACGGGAGGCCCGTTGCTGGAGATCAGACCCTGAGACAAGACAGCCGGGCCCTGCGGCGGCGGGCGAGACGCGAAAGGGGGAGGGGGGCCGGGGAGGGAGGAGGCGGAGAAGGGCGACGGCGACGCGGCGCGGGGGGCACTGGTGGGGGGTGGGGAGCGGCCGATCTGGGGGTTATAGGTGGAGACGGCGGCATTGGGATTGGTCGATGGGGCGAAGCCGGGTCGCGGCCGCGGTTGTCCCGAGACGAAAGGCGGAGACGACGACATGGATTTAGGGTTAGGGCCGGTAACGGAACGAGGGGAAGACGAGGGCGGGGCGGAAACCTCCAAACAGACGGAGGGAGAGAGAGATTGGGATCTGAGAGAGACGATGGACGGGAGGAAGGACCAAACTGGTGTGAGGGAGGTAAGATCGCGTGCGGGTAAATGCCGAGCGGAAGCGTGTGCTGAAACCGAGAGTCTGATGTGGCGAGAGGGTATTGGCGAAGCAACGTGGAGACGGTAGAGTATGCGTGTGGGCAGGTGAAGACGGACGTAACGTACGTTACGAGGGGCGAAGGTTTTTGCTCGACTCAAGGAAAGGCAAATATAATGAAAGCGGTGATACCTCGTGATGGTCACGTGGCGGATGCGATACAATAATATTTACTTAGAAAAACTTCCATTAATTGATTTTTACCAAACCGCACCGAGTTTACCCTTTTTTTCATAAATGAATAAATACCTTCTTTTTTTAACTTATTATATGTTAAAATTAAAATGAATCCAACTTGGTTGGATATTCTTAGCTTCTTTTTTATTCCACCCCCCACCATCTCCCTTTTATTCTTCGGAGAGGAAGGAAACGTGGATTATGGAAGGAAGGAAATTGAGGAATTTGATAAAAATGATGGGGTTGACTTAAATTGGTTCAGTGAATCGATTTGATTCATTAATATGAATTGATTCAATGAATTGATAGTAAGATTCATAAGATTACAGTAATCAAACATCTTTTAATGCTAGATACATTTATCTAGCTATAGGGGAGCACATTGAGAGACTTTCAATGGTTAGTCCAAGAATAATACGTCGAATACATTTTAATGCTTAGCTCGATAACAATACATTGGGTGCATTTTAGATACTTAGGTTGAAAATGATATATCATATGACATTTCAAGTATAGCTTCAATGATCAATACTTATATTAGTGAATGCTTCAATAAATGATAATTGAATTAGAATTGACGAGCATAAAAGTTAAACATGAAAATAGGGCATATGTCATAGCTTGCATCGAATGAGGTGTCGTTAGGCAGAATTCACTAATAAGATAATGTTTGATAGTCGAGATGATGTCCTTAAGTTATAATGACTACTTATGCAATAATGAGGCTCATTTTTGTATGTCTTTAGTCCTTATTTATTTCTCTAAAGCACTATCTCTCATCCTCATACGAGGATTTAAAAAAAAATCTTCCTCTCTCTCATCAAAATCTCTATCTTTTAATTAACTAGCCACCGAGGGAGTCAAAGTCCCATCATCAAATAGTTCGAGATTGAGAGGGATCCCAACTTTCTCATTGGGATGTTTACGAAAATAGGTCCAAAGATCTCAAAAGATCTTCAAATCATGAAAGACTTATAGGACAAGGATTTTGTCTTAACCTCAAAGTACTTAGAATACATGCATGTCTGATACTCCATTTTAACCGAGTATTTGGTATAGGTATCTAGACCTGGGCAACATCCCTCTGACCCAACATAGTGGTATATTTGTTTGTATGTTGATTTGCTTAAGGCTGAGCTCGGGTTCCCCTAAATCCACTCATCCTTCATGCTTTCATTGAAGGAGGATTTTGCATTTGTACATGCACCCAACTCTTTATGTTATCTAATCATCTTCGTCGAGGAATGTTGTTAGGCTGATACTACCTAACACAACCTATTTCATACTTATTTGTGATAAATATTTCATTATAAATAGTGATTGGGTTCGATTATTATGGTTCGATGAATCTTTTATAATTGGCTAAGTTAAAATGAATATTTCAATATGAGTGAAATATGTTATGATGTTTTATATTTGGTCAATATCTAAGTAGCATGGTTGTTTATTATCACTCGAGTCTCCTCATGTTAGATTATCACATGTTGAACTATGATTGAGGTGAATATTTTCTCTATTAATAACTAATCAACTAGTCATTTCATCTCCTCACTAATACATGTATTACCTTAATAATAACATCATGTTTAAAGTGTTAGGAAGAATGTCAACAAAATCAATTTCTAAGCTCTTATACATCAGTAAATTTTAACTATTATTACATAAAAATGTTATTGATATCCTGGTCAACCAAACGTAGTCTAAACACATGTGTGTAGGGTTATATGAAGTGCCTCTAAGGTGAAGATGCTGAGCACCTAAGGTGTCATCTACATGAAGACCAAGATCGACAAAAGTTTCTTAACCCGATTTCTTCGACATGCAAGTTAGTAGTTAGTAATATGAAGTAAGTGTAGACGCTAAGTGGTCCAAAGATGATATTCTCCATTTTATTGTGTTGAATATAAGATTTTATATATGATCATAAAGAAAAATAATAATTCATAAAATATTAAGTGGGGAGATAATCTCTAACCACCTTTAGTAACCTCCCATTGACCTTTTATTCACGTAGACAAAAAAAAAAGAGATAGTTTGCAATAGTTATCTTTGATCATTGTCAATGTATAACAGATAGAGTGACATTCGTCTTCTCCTTCTAGCCTAGATACCACACAAAGGTCACATATCATATGATGATTATCTTCTCCTCATCAATTGTATTTCACAATATGTATTATCCTAATCTCAAAATCGACACCCATCACAACTATAATCTAAAAGTTCATCACAATTAATTTTAACTTACTTAACTTTAGGTGTTTCCCACCTAATAGGAAAGCGACATAACTAAACAGCTATAGTGAAACCTACCCATTTTATCATAGAGTACGAGAGCGACAACTTCGTAAAATGATATATTAGCTTTACGATATTTTCGCAAGAGGATATAATCCGTGTAATGATTTTATATATATCTATATATATATATGTTATACGATGCCATCATATAAATTGGGGATGTAGCTCAGATGGTAGAGAGCTCGCTTAGCATGCGAGTACGGCGATCGATACCCCGCATCTCCAAATAAATATCATTTTCTCCTTTAATTAAGATTTTTTAATTATTGGTAGTCGATAATTATAATATGTATAATTATTCCTAAAAAAAAGGTATAATATATTTTTTTTGTTATTTAATAATTTATAATAATAATAATAATAATGAAATTGGATGTTGCCCACGGCGAGACAGGTTAAGGTCTCTATCTTACTCCACGTTGGACTTAAAGGCCAACTAACTCTCATCATCACAAATCCTCTTCGCGAAAGGAAGCGTTTAAGGGGGGTTTACTCCGCGGGACTTGAAAGGCCAAGTAACCCTCGTCATCAGACTTCGCAATAGGGAACCGTCTCAGTGGAGCTGCAAGTCATCCTTTCGTCGTGCCGTGCCCTAATCCCGTTCCAACTCCGATGGCGAACAGTGAGTTCATCTTGTCGTTGTTAGTGGATTCCTTCAACGTTTTCTTTCTGCCTTGACCCCAGTATCTTCAATTGGTAGATCGCATTTGTTTGGCTGCTTCTAGTTTCTTGTTTCTAAAGTTCGATGTTGGGTTCGGATTTTGGCAGCTATGGCTCGTTCTTTCCTGCAAGCCGTGTCCTCCTCCGAGGAGATTGCGCCGCCTCTGCGAGTTGTTCAGATGGAAGGGCTGGTAAATCTTGAACCAACTCTTGTTTTTCTGTTTATCTTTCGTTTTGGTTCTTACTCGAAACGTCGTTCATTCTTGTTTCGCGAACAGGAATTAGAGTTTTGATTTTAAACTTGTGTTTTATCTTTGATGCGTTATCGGTTTTCGTAATCTAGATCTCGGATCGAAGTTTGGAATTCCGATTAGAAGTTAATCAAGAATTAGGGTTTGGTATCCGAGGTGAGATATGTGTTCTGATATGTACTATCACAGCAAGTTCTTAGTTCGTTTTTCAGTTTTTTGGAGTTATGATCAAAAGGAATAGGAGCACTTCATGTGGACATGCTCAAAAGTCTCTTTTATCTGTTTTTGGTTCTTTAAGATTTGCTAGATTTTTCCTCGTTTTTGGAATAAATGGATTCCGTTTGCCGTGTGTACATTCCCTGGAAGATCTATGGATCATCAGGTGCTGCTAAGAGTTAAAAGGATTCATTAGAACATTAGTATATCATTGAAGATTTACCTAATTATGATGTCGATATAGTCAGGTTGATTTTCTGATGGTATCAAAGATGTTGAGGTGGATTTGTTAGGCAGAACTGTCAGTAGCCAAAAGAAATAATATATTGAAAGTATTACGTGTGTGTGTTTGTTTGGCACGTGTATGGAGAACACAATATTGTTTACCATGTAAAAGAAAAATATAAATGATGGTTCACATGCACACACCATGCCCTTACCTTAAGCCCCTTTGACAAATTTGATGGACAATCGTATTTGCTGCAAGTTTGAGTTAGAAGGATATGATAAACCTTTCTAGTGATTTTTTCAGAATCACCTAAACCTTTCTCGTGCTGGATCCATTGTTCAAAAGAGCAAAGAGTCATCTGTTATTGGCTTATTGCATATTCTTTTGAATTATCCTACAAAACTGTTGACTTAAACTATGTTTTTGTTTAAATAATTATTGCATGTGTTATGCACCTCATATATTTGGAACATGGATGATGCTTTTTGACTGTCTTCAATCCCAAATCAATGTCCCATAAGGTGGATGGGCCATGATTAATTCTTATATCGTCCTGGTATCTGATCGGTTTTTCTCATTGTAAAGTAAAGATATTGTTCTGGAAGTTCTTGCTTTCAGGTGCTAATTTATCATGATGAAAGAAGTTTCCAACAGGCTGTATATTCTCTGGTTGATGTTGTGCAGGCTGTTCTGAAGATAATCAAACATTGCAATGAATTCTCACCAGCTTTAGTCACAGGTCAACTTCTTGGTTTGGATGTTGGGAGTGTTCTTGAAGTCACCAACTGTTTTCCTTTCCCGGTATGAAGTGATTACTTATCAATCGTAGACCAAATAAATGATAATGATTCAGTGATGTTTAAGGAAAATATATTTTTTTTCTCATTTTTATGTTCATCCGTCAAAGATAAGGGAAGAAGATGAGGAGATTGAAGCAGATGGAGCCAACTATCAGCTGGAAATGATGAGATGCCTAAGGGAGGTCAATGTCGACAATAATACCATCGGATGGTATGCATTATTGTTTTGTATTTTTAATGTTGAAGCATTTGTTGTGGGAAAACTTTCCTTTGAATCACCTTATAAGCAATTTAATAGGGCCTTCATCCTCAAGAATATATTGGTAAAATTATTGCTCTTTATCACATTCTGCCTATAATGTTCGATCATCTTACATATGATCAAAGCTGCTATTATAGCCAAAAACTGATACATCTGTAAGGTAAAATCGGCTTGGGATTTTACATAGGATCCCTCAGAACATCATTGTGGTGGATGGTGATGAGTCATTTTGGGAACATCCTCAACTTCTATCAATCTTTGGTTCAATCATCTGCACTGAAAATCTGACCTCTTGTAAATAACTTTGTTATGCTATAAGTCACTCACCTGCAGAAATAGCTTCCTTTAAGTTTGTCTACCATTTACCTTTTATGGGAACCTTCCATTTCTAGATTTGCCTTGGATAACTAGAGTCGTCACTCTTGTCAAATCTCCCTTGGAACCTTTTGCAGATTGGAATCCATTGATATAATTTTCGTATTGATGTTTTGTTGAGGTTTTAATTGTGGCCTGCGGGAGAATGAGTTCTGAGCTTTTGGTGGAAATTCCTGTAAAAACATAATTTCAAATTATTATTTCTTGATCTCTTCATTAGCTACATTTTTTGTAGATAAACTGTGTATTATTATCTTATTAATAGGAACTTTGTTCATATCAAAGTGCTCATGTTTAGATTCTCAAGCTTTTACAACCTATATCCTTTTATGATTGTCTTTTATTTTCAGGTATCAGTCAACTTTATTGGGATCTTTTCAGACTGTGGAACTAATCGAAACATTCATGAATTACCAGGTAATGGAAAGATCCTTGGTCATATTCTCACAATGGAAGGTTACACTATTTCTAACATAACTGCTTTTTGTTTATAAAGTTCCCTAGTTTCCATCCTGAAATACATGGCTTTGTGACGTGAAGGGGATGGAGAACGTCTATGATATACCATGTTTTCTGAATATTAAACAGATGGAGATGACAATGAAAGAAAGAAGGGAAGGGTAGGGGGTGGTGGTCAAGAATAGGCAACAACAATGCTAGAGGGCTGCCGGAAGAGGGGGAGACATTTTTAGATCTCATAGGTTGATTTTTTAATGATTTTATATGTCATCAAATTTCTAGGAATGACAAAAGAAGTGGAAACTACCAGTAGAAAAAGTAAAATTTTCTTGCTGCTAGTGGATAATGGTTGCTTTAAGTTGTCTGGCCAAAGGTTGGATTCTCTGCCTTCTGATGCCTGCTGAATCCAAGGTGTCATACTTCTTGTAGCTGGTCACATGATTTTTCTTTTTTTTGTGTGTGTGCTAATACTCATGTTTTCCCTCTTCTCGCTATTGTTTTTCTTCTCTCAAATCAGAGATTAGGGTAACTTGCACTCAAGGAAATGTAGTCACACCCAGAATTGGGAGAACTTGTGGGATGGATTCTGTCCATTTCTATTTTGTAGACCACAACTAAGATGAAATCTACCTGAGAGGCTGGATGAGCATGTAAACTGTCTTGTGAAACCTATTTCATGTGATTCCATGAGACATCTTGTATCCTGAGTACAATATCTGACATAGACCCAGGGCAATGCTTTTGGTAGGTGGTTGGCATAAGAAAAAGAATATGATGGCTGTTGGTGTGCTTGGAAAGTTTGTGCGGCTCTAATTTAAGGTTATAAACTATGGGCTAGTATGATATTTTCATCACAATACCTGCTAACACTGCAGAGTGATGCAAAATATTCATCATGAAGATTTAAAGAGAAAAAAATTGGACTTTAATTCAATTGTGCATCCGTGTGTGATATTTAGAATTTGGAATGATGTCTGCTTATATTTTGATGGTAATGGTTGGTGGTGTACTTGGTTCTTTATATTTGTCTATTATGTTGCTTTGGTTAATATCTGATGGTTCTGCTTTGTCCTTGATGAATATCTTCGACCTTGTATTAATTTTATATAACATTATTCTTCATGCAGGAGAATATTAGAAGATGTGTGTGTATCATATATGATCCATCAAGGTCTTCTCAAGGTGCTTTAGCTCTCAAGGCCTTGAAACTCACAGACCCTTTTATGGATCTTCACCGTAAAAATAATTTTACTGGGGAGAAGTACGTCTTCCTTTGTGATCTAAGTTAATCAAGTAGTTGATTGCTATATTTCTACGTACTATACATGCTACTGCTTTGCCTTTTGTAGGTTGAGGGAAAAGAAACTGTCATGGGTCGATATCTTTGAGGAGATTCCTGTGAGTTGTTTATGTTAAGCTGTCGTTTGAAGCTACAGTACATGTTTTTCCAACTTGAGTTTGCAAATATATATCCACTTATTTGCTTAAATTTTATCATGAGGTATATTTTGCATTGGTTGATCTGGCAGATTAAAATTTCTAATTCTGCACTTATTAGTGCATTCATGACAGAGTTAGAGCCTGAATCTCCTGTTGCCCAGGTCTGATAGTTTCTCCATTCTATAAATGCTCTACTGGATCATTCTGTGAATTTCTGGTGTCTCTTTTCATTCATAAGTCTAAAATACATGGAGATTTTATGACAGTGTGATTATGATCGACTGAAGTTATCTACTGCTCCATACATGGAGAGAAACTTAGAATTTTTGATTGATTGTATGGAAGATCTCTCTTCTGAACAGAATAAGGTTTGTTCTGCCACACAAAGGATTAGGCTTGCTTCATTCTAGCAAAGACGTTCATATTTTCATTTTATTTTTTTCTGCTTTCAGTTCCAATACTATTACCGAAGTCTCTCAAGGCAGCAAGCACAACAGCAAGCATGGCTTCAGAAGAGGAGGTACAATGTTGGCACAATCAATTTATGTAAAAGATGATATCACTTTGTTTATTTTTAGACATTGGACCATCTTATTTCTTATGCATTTTGAATGTGGACTTAGTTTTGATCTGTTCATTTTTATGCTAATGTGACCTGCATACAAACTTGTTTCTTCTCATTTGACTAACCCTGTTGCTTTTGATGTGATGAAACTGAAACTGAAACTGAAACCGATTCTTTGGAGATTCTACAATGAATCATCTAATGCTGTGTGGTAGCTAGCTCTTGACATGATCCTCTACGGTTTCTTCTTGATGCTCTTCCAGGAATAGAGGCAGACTGAATGATCTTGCGTATGACAATGCATATGACGTGTGGGCCAAACTTGAATATGATTGTACGATATACTTTAGTAGTTGTAAAATTATTTGGATCTAGGATGCAGTTGTCTGGACTCTATCACTCTGGACTTTGGACTCCCACTCAGAACGTTGCCAATCTATTTGTTATTTGTTAATGCAATATCTGTTTAGGTAATTCACTAGTTCTGTGGATAGACGTTACAGTGAAAAGCCAATTTTATGCAACCAAAACACAGTTTGTATTGTCTTTTTTTTTTAATGTGTGATTTTACTAAACCCATCTGATGCAATGAGTTCTGCTTGACCTTGTGCACATGTTATTTATGATCAAGTCAGATGTCTCATGTAAAATTTGATAGATAGACTTGGATCTTTTTGTTGTATGTGGTAGGGTGGAGAACATGGCAAGGAAAGCAGCTGGAGAGGAACCATTGCCTGAGGAAGATCCTTCTAATTCCATCTTCAAGCCAATACCAGAACCATCCCATTTGGATAGCTATCTCATCACAAATCAGACATCCAACTACTGCAACCAAATTAATGGGTATGCAAGCTCTACTAATAACATGTCACTGGTCCTCCTTAGTACTTCAGTATAGGTTTCTTAAATATTAAAGTTTTGAAGCATGTAAAATACCCGATAATGACACATATGAAGTTTAAACAACACATTTTGCATTATACACCCTATATATATATATATATATATAGTACGC